GGAGCCGAGCGGGCGGAGCCCAGACTGCCGCCACCAACTTCGCCACCGCAAGGTAAGGGGGTCGGGGTCCCGGGATCGTGGCGGGGGAGGCCGGGCCGCGGGGCAGGGTCGGGCCCGAGCGGGGAGGTCCGGAGCCAGGCCCGGCCCTCGGGCCCCTCGCCACCTACTCCGCCCCCGGGCCTCGTGGGCACCGGCCCCACTCGGAAGTGGCCGTGCGCGCCCCCAGCGCCGACCTGCCCCGGCGTCAAGGCTGCCGCCTGGTTGGTTGCAGTTTCCAGAGCCGGAAGTGCCCTGAGATCCCCTGTAGGGTGCCTAATGGGGAACCAGGCCGGGTGGAGCACCCAGATGTTTCCAGGTCCCCAGCTCAGGGCCCCTAGTCCGTAGAGGTCGCCCAGGGAGAACGCAGCTGGGGCCTGGGAGGGTTAGAAGTTGGCTCAAGGTCATGTTCACCAGGGGTCCCTCCGCAGGCACCCCTCCCCAGCTCTTTCCTTTTCCTAACAGACCTCTGTATCCCACAGCCGACCCTCAACCTGAATATTCCAAAAGTGCCTGGGAATCTTCTCAAGAAAGACCAGACGCTCATTGTACACGGGACACTCTCCTCCTCTTTCCCACCGTTGGTATGAGAGAGAAAAGGTCCTATTACTAAGGTTTGAGTGGAATTTTACAGCTAAATAAGCAGAAGCTCTGAGGGGGGAAATGATTTGCTTAAGACCAAACCACTGGTTTTGCCACTTTGCCTGTTTTCAGAGCCAGACCCAGTACTTCGCCCAGAGTAGAACCCCCAGTCCCAGTGCTTCTCCCAGAGCAGAACCCCCAGTGTCCCTTCCCTGGGTCACCAAGGGAGTTAGAAGCAGTCAGGGCTAGAATCCAGGTCTCGGGCTAGAGACTGGTCTTGCGTTCTCTCTTTCCTAACTCAGTGTTTATTTCACTGCAGAAAATAAGAAACCTCCTAAGTCTGGGGACATCCATTCATTCATCATGCGCTTCATGAGCACCTACTGTGTGCCAAACCATGCACTGTGTAGGCCCACAGGAGACAACAGTCGGCAAGCCCTGCCCTCAGAGAGTGTACTCCAGAAGATAGAATAAAATCACCGTGCCCTGGGGAGGGAGGGGACAGGGCAGAGACCACTAGGATCTTCCACACTGTGAAGTTGTAAAGAGGCAGAGAGACAAGACCACCAGAGCTCAGGCATCATAGGCCCAGGGAGATGCTTCCATCAGCCAGAACTTTCCCACCACCTTCCCTAGGGACTTAGGGGTCAGGTGGAGAGGAAAGAGGATGACAATAGTCCAAACTCCCTGCCACTGAGTTGATGCTGACTGATAGCAACCCTATAGGACAGGCTTGCCCTGCCTGCACTGTGAGTTTCCAACGCTGTAACTTTTTACGAGAGCAGAGAGCCCCTTTTTTCTCCCCCAGAGCACTGGTGGTTTCAAACTGCTGACCTTGCAGCTAGCAGCCCAACTTGTAACCATGACACCACCAGGGCACCTGAGAATGGTCCAATGGAAGCCTTAAACTCACCTCAGAGCATGACACCTGGCACTGCAACTTCCTAGTTGTGTGACCTTGGGTAGGTCTCCCTACCCCTCTGGTTGTAAATAGTGCAACTCATAATACCACATAGCAGTGATCATTCTGTGGCAAAATGATCTGTAAATGAGAGAAGCGTGATCCAAAGTATGGCCTGTATCAGGACCTTTCCAGATTAGACGTGAGGAAGGTATATTTATTTAGGGCTTATTTATGTAGACGTGAGGAAGGTATATTTATTTGGGACTTATTTATTTATAGGCGCTAGTGAGCCTATGGGAACCCTGGTGGCGGAGTGGGTTACACACCGGGCTGCAAACTGCAAGGCCAGTAGTTTGAACCCATCTGCTGCTCCACTGGAGAAAGATGAAGCTTTCTTCTCCTGTGATTATTTTACAGGCTCAGAAACCCACTGGGGCAATTCTACTTTACCCTATAAGGTCACTATGAGTCAGGATTGACTTGTCGGCTGTGTTTGCTTTGCGTGAGCCTATTGACAACCTGTTATTGCTCCTTGTAAAGAAATCTAAGAGGCAGAAGTTGGGCTGGGGAGTTGAGTGCCCGGTGAGCAGCCTGAGGCACCCAGCCTGCCTTGCAAACTGACATTCAGATCACAGTAAACATTTCGATTCTGACAACCCTTTCAGTGTGGTGTGTAGCATCAGGCAGGTATGCGCTTAGAGCCTAACTTTACTCTTCCTGTGGCCTGGCATAAGCTTTGTGACTTTTCTGTGCTTTGGTTTCCTCTTGTCTGTCTCCTAGGGCTGTCATTACTTGCTGGGCTGCTCACTGCAAGATCAGCTGCTTGAACCCACCAGCCTATCTGTGGGAGGAAGACAAGGCTTTCTACTCCCACAAAGAGTTAGAGTCTCAGAAGCCCACAGGGGATGTTCTACCCTCTCCCATAGGGTCACTCTGAATTGGAATTGGCGCAATGGCAGTGACTTTGGTTTGGTTAGGGTTGTCATGAGGCTTCTAGAGGCAGAAACTTGCAAAGGGCCAAGTGCTGCACCCGACACTTGGGGAGGCTTTTTACTTCTTAGGCCTGGGGCCCAAGGAGTGGTTGGGATGGGCTCAGCTAATGATTAGGTTGCCTAGCTCAAGGTGTGGCTCCCAGAAAGGGTGATGCTGGAAACCCTCCCTCCCTTCCCTGGAACCATCTGGACCTAACTGGGCTAGCCACCTGGGCCAGCGAAGGGGAGCCTGGGAAATGTCATGAAGTGGTTTCTCATGGTGTCCTTGGATGGCCTTCATGTTTTGTGGACACCGCTGTACATTGTAAAACAGGGCTGCTAAGGGGGGAGCGGGGGAGAGCCTTGTTTTCTGCAGTGTGAAGAAGGGGCCTTGAGGGGGACCCCCATCAGCTTTTTAGTTAGCTACTCTGCTTGTGGCAACCGGAGTGTCCAATTGCCCCACCCTCTGTTTCAAACCCTGGTAGCTCCACCATTTCTTGAATAAAGAGCAAATGCCTTGAACACAGAGCAGGCCTTGCAGAGTCTGGGCTCCTCTGGGCCTGCCCCTTCCCACACCTCCAGCCGCATCGCAGGGCACTCTAAATAGCCCTCTGTTCTAGACAGACTGCTCCCGCCCTCGCAGGGCCTTCCTCCCTCACCTCCCTCTCCCCTGGTCAACCCCTCCGTGTCCTTCAGATCTTTGCCCAACAACTGGGCCTTACACGCCAGATGTCCTGGACTTTGTGAGGTCACTGGTATGGCAGCGGCGAAGCCCAGTGTAGGATTGATTATACAGGAGAAATGACCTCTGCCTGTCCCTGCACACCACCCCAACGAGCCCCACGACTTGTAAGGCTGGGTCTGAGTTGGTGACTTAGGTGCTCAGTAATGACATCTACCTATAGGGAACAAAAATGAGAACCTCGCTTTATAGAAAACTCCCCTGTCCTCCACCCAGATTATGATGGTGAAGTCATTACTCAGCCCTGGCAGTAGGTAGAAATCCCTCCTTCCCTCTCTCCATCCCTCCCTCCTTCTTCCTTCACCATACAGGGGTTCAGTACCCACTGTGCCCGTGCAGTTCTAGGACACATCAGGAAGCTCCCCACAAAAGTCAGTGCCTTCATGAGCTTTCTGTAGCCCTTAAACAGGCAAACCTGCGCTACATCGTCAGGTGGTAATAGTGTGAGAAAGGAAAAGGCTGTGTTAACTGGGGGCTAGGCCCGGAGTGGGCCTGCTGTTTCTGACCTGGCCTCAGAAGCAAGGATGCTGTGCTGGTGGGGAAGGCAGGAACAGCCCAGTGGAAGGTGGTGGGTTTCAGAGGTGACAGGCCCCACTCCAGCTGGGTAAATCCAGGAAGGCTTCATGGCAGCTCCTACGGAGGACTTTAGTAACAGAGAAGAGCCCAAGCTTTGGAGTTGCAGAAGCATCCTAGTCCTGCCACTCAGCTCTCTGGGCCTCGGTTTTCTCATCTATAGAATAAGGGCAGAATAGTCCTCATAAGATTGTTGTGAAGCTGAACTGAGACAATGAGGCTAAACTAAGGTGACCAGATTTTAACATTGTTAAAGCGGGACACCATTGATAAAACTCATATCCTGGTGAAATAGCCACATGGCAGCTGAAAACCGTATCCCCTAGCTTGTCGTGCATTCTTTCCAAAAATCGGGACTTTTTAAAAATGCCGCGGGACGCGGGACAAATTGTTAAAAATCGGGACTGTCCCGCCAAAAGCGGGATATCTGGTCACCTTAGGCTAAACCCATAGGAAATCTTTACTGAGTATTAAACTGATTTTGGCACCATTTGGACATGGGGGGTGGGGATCAGTGGGAGCCAAGGGCTGAAGTGGGAAACCCTCACTTGCCCTGGAAGCTGTAGGCGGCTGGAAGAAGGCAAATGGAAGGAAATCATGTTAAAGAAACAGGTTAGACTCAGGGCAGAGGTGCGTGGAGCTGCTAAAAGTGAGATGGTAGCTAGTGCACACATGGGAGCTATGGAGGTACATCGAATTGGACGGTTTTCAGATTGTGTTTGAAACCTCATTGACCAAGCCAGGGTATGGAGCAGGCCAAAGAGAAGGTAGGTGCCGGAATCGTTTGGGTGGCTGACTTTGGGATAAGACCCACTTCCAGGTTTAACTTCCACTTGGCTGGTCCAGTGAGCTTGGCTGATCTTTCTCAGGCCTCTGTATTTCCATCTGTAAAATGGGAGATGAGAGCATCGACCTTGTAGGGCTGTGAGAGGATATGAGATGACCCATGAGGGGCAGTGTATAGATGCCATTTGCCAAGAATTTACTGTTACAATTCGAAAGTGGGGTATTGGGTGCCTACAGGTGTCTCTCCTTGCCCACCGTGACTTCCTGGGGCAGTTTCAAAACCAGTGGATCCAATGAGCCATGGCAGACTTTTAGATTTTCGTCCCCTTCCTTCCCAAACCAAATTGCCTTTTGAATTAGCTTGAATTGTCCCAAATGGAAACACCATTTGTTGAACACATTCTTATAAGCATCTCCAATGGTTACTAAGGAGGCTTAGACGCTCGGTGATCAAGCACTCAGCTGCTGACCAGAAGGTGTGTGGACGGACCCCGCCAGCCTGGCCTTCAGACAAAGACATGGCCCTCTGCTTCCCTAAAGACCAATAGCCTTGAAAACCCCAAGGGGCAGTTCTACTTGGTCCAGTAGGGTCACTGGAGTCGTGATCGACAGGACAGCGGTGGGGTTTTTGTTTTGTTAAGAGTCCTGGTAGATCAGCGGTTAGACACGCTGCTGCTGACCAGAAGGCTGTCTGTTTCATATTCCGCAGTGACTGCAGAGGAGAAAAGGCCTGGCAGTCTCCTCCCATCAGGATGAAAACCCAAACCAAACATCCTGCCATCGAGTGCGTTCTGACACCCTTATCGCACAGAAGCTCCCGTGGGACAATTCAGCTCTTGTCACCTGGGTTGGTGGTGAAGTTAAAATGGACTTGATGGTCCCTAACAATAGTTGTTTACATAAGGACAGGGGGAGATAGACCCCTAAGGGATAAACAGGAACCAGTAAAGGAGGGGGACTTCAGTGACATTGTGCCAGTTACAAAGCAGAGGAGCTGGGTGCTGGGACTAGGAATGGGGTTACCCCACCCCCACCCGCGCAGGGAGGAGAGAGAGT